TTAATCGGTCCAACCATCATCCAGTTGTTAAACGGGCTGGGTTGTTACCCAGGCCCGTTTGAACGATCAGACCATCCAAATCTGGGAAAGCCGCTTACGCATCTCGCTCGGCAAATTGCTCTACACGGGACGCTCCAACTTCTTCCTTTTTCTTTTTTTTTTTCCTTTATTCTTTTCTCCATGGTTGGTTCAAAGCATTTGATAAAATTTCCTCAAATTTGCCACCTTAAGGTTCGAACATATGACTTCGAGTAGTCTTTCAGTAACTTTTGCCACTAGAGCACCACCAAGGGAATTGAATATTTTGCTTAAAATTTTATTTCTTTTATTTTGAGAAGAAAAGAATTGGAATTGCCGTTTAAGGCAATTGAACTCCCTTCAACTTTATCGAGTTACTCCAACGTGAAGGGATATATTGTTGATTTTTATATTAAAATTAACATAAAATTTATTTAAGCGTAATAAATGTAATTTTTTATAATTAATTTATATAAAAAATTATAAAAATTGTTTTTTTTTAATATTATTAATATGTAAATAATTTTAATTAATTAATTAATTTATAATTAATTTTTATAAGTTTTTATATAAAATATAATAAAAAAATAAAATAAAATACAAAATTTTACATCAAATTTGGTAAAAAGTAAAGAAAATTTCTGTAAAATTAATTAAAAATATCCTAATTAAACACTGAAATAAAATAGAAGTCCAGTAATTTTCACAGAATATACCGCATTCTACTTGGTTATGAAGAATATTTACTAAATGAAGAAAATCAAAAGCAATCATTCTAGAAAACAGATCAAGATCGTTCGGGACAATAAGTCCGTTTCAGAACGACAGAAACAATAAACCAGACAAAAAGGATAACATTTTTCTTAATCATTGCCGGAAAACGATAGAAAAAAAACATAAGACAATTAGAGGAGAAACTCCAGATCTGAAGCGCGGGAAGGAATATCAGAAGGAGAGACAGAACCGAAGACGAACCTTGAACGGAGCCAGAAATGTCGGAGGAAACAAATTCTTCTCCAGCGGCTATGTTGAAAGATCACCGAAGGCTTCGCCGGACAGTGGTCGTCGTCGTCTGCGGCGGCGGCGGCGGCGGCGGCGGGGAGGAGGAAGAAAGAGAGGAAAAAACGAAGAAGAGGGGAAAAAAAGAACATGATTTCCGTATGGGATATTTATAGAGAGAGAGAGAGAGAGAGAGTGAAGAGAAACAGACAGAAAAGCAAACGTTAAAACGTGATAACTGGGAAGGGAAGAACGGTGGAGGAAGAGATTGAGTTTACGGATGATAACTGGTAAAAGCACGTGTGATGGTCCACGTGGACAAAAAACTGACACAGTTCTGACGTGGCTTCGCTCGACTTCTTTGTCCGAGTTGCTTGGACTTCTCACCTTTTTTTTGTTTTATTATTACCATATGAATTTTCGAGGTGGTTTTTTTTTAAATTAATATTTAATTAATAGAGATTAGGTGAGGGCATCGAGCCCTTCAGTCAAGTGGTAATAGCCACTCATGGTGTATTCCTCTTATTTTAGGGGTTGGATTCGAACCCAGTCTCTTATAAAAATCTGTTAAAAAAAAAAAAGAGATTAGGTGAGGTCATTTTTAAGATTAGTTTAAGGGATTATATATTTTGTAGCCAAAATAAGATAAAGATTAATGATTAAATAATGATTATGATATTTTTCTTAAAAAAAGTGAAAATTTAAATTAAAAAGATAATTTTTATTTTATAATTTAAAATAAATTAATAAAAAAATTAAACACATGACATTTATAATTAAAATAAAAAGTAATAATTACTAGTTAGTGATTACTTTTTATATTATGCTCTAAGAATATAAGATAGATAAATTTTTAATTTAATTAATTTTTTATATAAATTTTATATATTATACTTATAT